GCATTTTACAAAAGTTTCACCCAGCCAAGCTTTTTTCTGATTTGGGGTGGGGGTACCCCTTTGTATAGTAGTAACATTTTTTGAGAGGAGAGACTGACATAGACACATCGTAGGATTGGAGCAGGAAATGTCCTCATGGGGAAGAAGTAACTGGGTTGATATTGTTCAGCCAGTTAGCTGCAGAGCTAGAATTAGAGCCCAGGCCACACCTCAGTCCACTCTTTCCATTTCCCTGTGCTATGCTATATAATATGAAAATAGAGTGAGTCTCCAGGCTACTGGAAGAGGCTTACCAATTCTAGTATTAGAACCAGGGAACCTGGCCCCACACCCTAGGCAGACGTTACAATCCATCTCAGAACAATGCTTTCAGCCCGCACCCACTGCAAATCCCACTTGCCATCATGGCCTGATCATAATCCCAGGATAAAGCAGTAATTCCTGGTTCAGAAAAGCAGATGGAGATTAACTTTGATTATTGAGTATTATCTGAGATCAAACAAAAATACCAATAGCTTATCTAGTAATAGTAATTGCAGCTACCATTAGTGCCAGGCACCGAGCGATTGCTTCATATACATCCCTGTGTGTGTGTGTGTGTGTGTGTGTGTGTGTGTGTGTGTTCTCATAACAAGCCCGCACGAGGGTTACTGTTAACCTGGGCACAGACTTGGAAACAGAGGCTCGAAAAAGGTGAGATAATTTGCCCAAGACTACAGGGCTAGGAAGTGGCAGACCTAGCAGTTGTGCCCTCATCTGCCTGGCTCGGAAGCCACTCACCTGGCCACACAGGGGCACTACTGGAGTAGCCAGGTGTGGACCACTCACAGCACAGCACACATGTCAGAAGAGTGTTCCCTCCCCTGCCTGTCTTCCGCCCTCGGAATTCTTTTAGGCATCTTTGGGGATACAGGCTCTAGTAAATATAGTTCAGAAAAGAATATCTGCCCAGTTGATTTTCGGTTTGATGGGTTCCTTTTATGATAAACTAGGAACACTTTAATTGTTTTATTCTTAGAGTTATCAGGCTAGAAGGAAATGCCTAAGGATGTCTTTACTAACCCCTTCCTTCCATGAGAGAGACAGAGAGAGGAGAGAGAGAGAGATTACATCCTAGAAGTCAGCAAATCAATCCAAGCCCTCGGCCATCCAGGGCACTCCGACTCGTGGCAGCCCTAGAGGGCAGTGTAGGAACGAATGTCCACACGATTGCCAAGCCTGTCGTTCTTATGGAAGCAGCTTGCCTGAGGTTTGATCCTCAGAGCTGGGGTAGCTTTGAACCACACACCTTTTGGGTAGGAACTGTGCACTTGGGCTGCGGTGCCACCAGGGCCAGGACTCCTTCGTTTATTCTTTCCTTTTTTGCACACCTGCCTTGTGTCAGGCTCTGAGCTAGCCATTTGGGATACAGGGTGAGGCAGAGAGACAAGTTCCTCCTCTGTCCACCGTATACTCTAATATGACAGCTAATAAGTTAGCAGCCCTCCAGGTAGTCTAGCAGCAGGCGGGTTTGTTTATGGGGGTGGGGAGAACGTCTTCTGTGGAGTCAAGACAAATGTGAAGGAAAACTTGAGAAGGCAAGTCAAGCTGCCCCATCAGTAGGTGCCTATCATTCATCTGTGACGAGGACTGGATCTCAGGCAAAATGGACAACCCACCTGGTCTGATGTCATCGTCTTCTCCTTTGGCAGTTCCATCCTTTCCCCAGGTGTCTGGTACCTCCTGTCTGTAACACCTCTCTGCTCACCCCCATCTATCCAGCATTCTGCTTGCTGTGCCAGACCCCCTCTGCTTTCCTGATACCCCACCCCCCTACCCACTGCCCCGGTCCCTGATTGTGTGAGTCTGGGTACTTTAGAGAAACAAATCCACAGAAACTCATGTATAAGAGAGAGTTTTACATAAAGGGTAAGTGCACATCAAGAAAACATCCCAACCCTGTGCTGTCCAAGCCCACAAGTCCAACATTAACCCATATATCCAACACCCATCCACAAAGTCCTCCTCCATCTCACAAAACACACGCAATGATGCCGACTGCAGGAGGAAAGCCGAATCAGTGAATGTGTAAGCATCTCAGTATCTCAGTGCTGGCAGGGGTCTCCACACGACTGCTGCAGCACCCAGGGCTACATCGGGGTAGGTCCATGCAGCTTCTCCTTGGGGATGTCTTGCAGGAAGAGAGCCTTGCCAGCTAAAGCAGGGAACTGCTAAGGCAGCTGCACCCTCGTCTGACCATCACAAAGCAAGAGACCCGAGAACTAGAAAGGCGAGGCTCACCGAGCCATTTATCCCTCCGCCCTTCAATTCACCCCACATGTGTTTATCGGCCAGGTTGGCACAATTAACTAACTACCTCACTGATCCTTTATAGATCCCAAGTTTCTTGTCCTCAAGATCAGGTCCCTGTGGTGGCAAAGCCTCGGCTGGTACCTGGAGACACTAGCATCTGCCCCCTTCTCTCAAGTGAGCTACTTGTGTGGACAGTGGTTCCGTTTTCCCCCTCTGTCAGATGGGGAGCTGGGGTAAACTCGTTGAGAGGATGACAGGAACCGGGAACAGATGGCGGACGTGGCCCCACCTCTGCCTGGGCTCCCCTTGTTCATCTCAGGGCAGGCTTGGCTTCTCTGAGCCTCGGTTTGCTTCGCTGAGCAGCACAGGGTTGCCCTGGTTAATCTCTGCAGTCCGCACCAGTCTGGAAGTCTAAGAACTAAACTGTCCGTTTAGCTCTTCACCCTCAGTGAAGCAAACCAAAGCTGTGATTCACTACAGGTAGCGACTCCCCCACTGTCTGCCTCACCGGGGGAGGAGGTGGGGACAAGCAGGGAGGCCACTGAGGTGTCACTGCAGGGCAGTCGGCGAAATTATTGGAAGTTTCTTAAATGTCCCCTTTGCGGGACAGTTAGCTTAAGAAATGACCTCTTCCTGCGGTTACTAATGAGATGGGAATCAAGAAGAGGGTTTATGATGTGCCCGAGTTGTGTCTAATTGCTAAAACCTCAGCACTAGCAGATTCTAACCAAGCCAGCCGAATCTGCTGACCAGGATGTGGGAGCTGAGCACCGAATGAGCATCCACAATCCCTTACTTCAGGACGTGGCTGTCTTCCACTTCCTTGTTATCTGCTCTTGTGCTCCATGATGGAGGTCAGGCTGGTGGAACTGTTAGGTGGCCTGCATTTCTTAGAAGACACGAGCTCATGAAGAACACCGGGCCCCGCGTCTCTCTCGCTAGCCATTTGCAAAATGCTGAAAATAAGTGTGCACAGTGAGATTCGTGTGCTGTGTATTCTCTGTATAGCTAGACTATTATTTAATGGATGTCACTTAGGGAATCCACGGGAAGCCTCCGTGCAGAAACCTTGCAGAGAGGTAAAATGCTACTCCTTGTATCGGAGCTGTGTCGTCCTCTCTAAAGCAGGTGCTGTCTGCTGTGAGAAGCGAGGGAGTCCGGCAGTGCAATCTGCTGTCCAAACTAAACCAGCCAGAGGGAAAGAAGAGCCAGCCCGGTGCGGTGGTCTCCGTGTCGGTTTCAGAACGATTCCACACAACTGAAATCTTATTTTTGCACTCCTGAATTTGGTGTGGTTTTGTGATGTGAATTCAACCATTTGTTGCTTGAGCTTTTATGGTTTCCGAATGAAGGTCAATGTAATTGACCCGTGGGGAGGCCCCCAAATGGATGTGCCCGCAAACAACAAAAGATGAATTCTTTCCGATGAAGTCTGATGCTGACAGAACCCTTTGCCTGCCTTTGAGTGGATTCTGACTCAGAGAAAGCAGACTGCCACATCTTTCTCCCTTGGAGTGGGCTTGAACCACTGACCTTTTGGTTGGCAGCCCACCATCTGTCAGTGACTTTAATTCCCTTAGTTTGATAACGGATACATGCCTATGGATGTTTTCTGGATAGGATGCGATAGCCCAGTGAAAATTAAAGATGGCTTTTTGGCGACTACCTAGACTGGATCGCCCAGAGCTCCACGCTTGGAAAAAGTCCTTGCAGAGTGCCAGAAATGCCAGAGGCTGGAACGTCGTGGCCTCAGTGGGATGAGTGTAGTGCCCATGGAGACAGTGTTTTCGCATGGCTGACATTAATGACAGCCCAATGCTGCACAGTCACTCCGTGTTTTCATTTCAGAAGAGCTTCAAAACCACGGAGCCCTTTCAAGTCGTCTTCTTTTACTGCGAAACTAGAAACCAGGCCGGCGATGACTTTTGGTAATAACCTGGGTTCCAGCTGCAGTCTGTATTAAACTCCTTGTCATATAATTTTCTAATTTGTGTGTAGGTAGTTGGAGCAAACAACATCGTTTATTTGGGAGCATGACATCAGGAAGCATATTGGAATGCAGTGGCAAGGGTACTGAAATCAGCGTTTCCACAAAGTCCGCTCTAATTGAGCAGTATCCTAAGCAGAACTAGAACATGATACTCAGAGTCATTTCCGCTACTGGGTAATGAGGCTGATTTTATGTTAACAAATGTCCTAGGAGGGACACTTCCCCATGAATGTTGTCCCTTTCAAAGAAGTCAACTGGGGAGACTGGCCATCTCTGCCAGTCACTAGACAATGCTGCCAAAAGCAAACATAATTCCTCTTCCCGAACAGCTTTCCCCGCCTTCAGTAACATCACCATTTTCTCCATGGTGGCCACTGTCATCCTGAAAGAGTAGATCTGATTTTCTTTTTTTAAAGACAATCCAGAGTGATTTTAGTGACTGAAGTAGGTAGGTGATGAAACCAGGCTGTTTTCTTTTAAAAAAAAATCAAAATGTAAGCTGTTACTACACAAATCATCACATTTTCTTTGTCATCTCATTGCAGGACTTCCAACCAGTTCCATCCCTTCCAGACCCCTGTTGAGAATGTGTGTCTTTACCCTATTTGAGTGAGATCATATCACCTGGTGATCTTGTTCCGAGGGAGCTTCTGGTCCAGTCTAGCCTGGGTGGAAAGGGAAATTGTCAGCAATTGGATCCAACCAGAATGAACCCATTCAAAGGGTCCAGTTGGCATGCTGGCAGTTAGAACAGTGGTGTTCAAGGTCATTTGTATTGATGGCAGCATCGCTGCTTGCCGATCAGCCTCCTGTTGGAAGAGAGGTTGGTGCTAGGGGTTTGGTTGGGAGAAGATACTGGCCATTAATTTCCAGCTTTCTGAAAATGCATGTGGTTAGCTGATGGTCAGCACTCCACCAACAAGGGCCATTCAACATTTCTCTTTCCCTTGTCGCCTGAGAGCATCTCCCCACGTGCAGGGAGAGTCCGAATTAAACTGGGTTACCGTTCTTTGTATATGTCTTCTGTTGTGTCAGAATTACTACTCTCCTCACTGATAAATGTGTGCAGCAAGCAATGAGTGTGAGGAGCTGAATGGAGTGGGGAGAGAGGGAACCCCTTGCCCAGGAGGACATGGGCCAGGTGACTCGTTGTCCTAGCCTGATGCTCATCACAGGAGAATGCTGACTTGGACTGTCATTCAGAGTTCACCAAGATGGAGCCATTGGGTCATGCGACAGCAGCACAGTGCGTTGCTGCATACAGCACAGACAGCCTTGTGTCTGGCTCAGCACAGCAAACCATAGCAACTTGGGCATAGGTTTTGAGACAAGGGTGCCTTGGGGAATTCTGGATACATTTTCAGCCTTGACATTGAAGCTTCTCCAGTTGAAGCCCAGATGACCTTTGGAAGTATGGCTGTGGTTGCATTCCATTTCTCAATTTGGGCAAGTAACATGGCATTATCTTAAATATTTGGGTTTTTTTTTTAAGCTGATGAGTTGCTCTTGAAGAATGTATAGGAGTTGCCAGCTATCATTCTGCCTCTGTGACTTGCCCCTAGTGACTGCTTTGGCTTGCTGCAGATGTGTGTGTGTTGGGGGTCGTAGGGGGGTGTGGCGCAAGGGCAGCACAGACACACCCGTGTCTGGCAGTGATTGACAACATTCTTGGGAAAAACCATCCCTCACCATCTGAAGCCCTTTGGCCCATTGTACATTTAGCCCCATTGTAAAAGTAGCTGTGGCGAATTTCACCAGTTTAACAATTACTCTCAAAAGATAAGCCAACCATTAATTCCGGTTAATAGCTATTTGAATCCCTTGGATATTAAAATACATCATTAGGCACTGTGTTAGTTGACCTTCTGGTTTTTCAACATTCTTCTACATAATCTTTTCTTGGCTTCACTTTTTTGGTTAGAGCTGAATAAAAAATAGGACCTGGCAATGTTGCCGGGGAGAGAGGTGATGGTCACATGGCTGTGTGTGTAAAGTTAGGAAATAGTGATAAATCGAGGTGGAGCTGATGATTCCACAGCCCCTGGAATTGTGGTCTTAAACTTTTACTGTGGAGCCATAGAAAGGAAAAATCACATAGACTTAGAGGCTTAGATAGCACTGTGCTGGGAAATCTCCTCTTCTTTACTGATGGCCACGTACTGAGTCTCTCAAACTTCGATTTAGTTCTCCCGGAAGACTTATAAAATCATGCCCAAAGGAAATATGCTTTGAGAGTCGCACATCATTCCTCAGTTAGGACATCATCAAGTTCCAAAGACCAGGTTTGCTGCGTGAAAATCGGCATGATTTGAAAATGGAGGCTGACTACGTTGTTACATAACAACCTGAAAATCGTGGTCTGGCCAAAGTACCATATGACCTTAACCATCGCAGACAGCTACACACGCTTGGTACTTTGGACGTTGCCAATGTGCAGAATAGTAGCATAGTAGATTTTTAAAAATATTGTGACATGTGAAATGTTGATGAGATAGTTGATAAGTGAGGTGGAGAGTCCCAAATGTCCAAGAACCAGGAGTGAAGCAAGGGAAGGACCCAGGAAGGGTGCAATCTGAAATGGGCGGTGCTGTCTCTTGAGCAATGGCATGCACCTTCTTAGTCCTTTTCATGAGCCCACCAGGAAGAAGGGAAGGCTCGATCTTTCAGAGAACCTGTAGAAAGGGCTGATATCTCTCTGCCAGAGCGACCTAATCTTTGCTGTTGACAGCGGTAAATTCTTTTGGAACGTAATCAGCTCATCCAGTCTAAAGACCGAAAATCTGATTCCAAGAACAGGAAATTGGCCGGACGATTTGTTTACTTTGGAGGGTGGAGATAAGTTAAGACTAGGCAAACGTAGCCTTGTGACATATTTTAAACGACATGTTAAATGATTAATAATACCTCAGAGAAGCGAGCCATTCTGAATATTGGTGGGTATGTTTGAAGTGCGATTCTTTTTTTTTTTAATATCCATATACAAAAAGTTCTATACCTGAAAAAAAAATCATGTCCCATTCAGAATGTCCATGTGAAAGTCTTCCCGCTGATTCAAATGCTTTCTTGAAGCCCCTTTTTCATTTCTTGGAATTGCGTTTTCAGAGCTGTACCAAGTGCTTTTGAGTCACAGCCAAGGCTGAGTGAGGGGTGGTTTTCCTAGAGCCTTGGTTGGCCTCCAGCAACCTTGCTGCTTATTGGTTCCCCAAGCTCTCAGGGAAGGCTCCTGTCTGTGAGTACACTGTTGTGTTATCACCACTTCTGGTTACTCCTGGACTCTCCAACGGCCCTTGACTTGGGCCTGTTATACACATATAACGCCTCGAACAGTTGCAGCTGGGAGCCATGCAAGTGGAGATCTTAAAATGCTTTACTTATGGAGTTGCTTTGTTTACCAAAAATGAACAATAGGAAAGAGATTTTCAGTACTGACACCACCTGCCACGAGCTTTGCCATCTATTGATTGAAAGCAAGAGTGCATTATTAGTGGCTTTCAGAGAGAGAGAGAGAACAAAGTCAACTCGGTCACAGCAGAGTCAACAAAAATTATTGACTTTGCAGGGAAGACCGTCTTTCCTTCTCCAGCAGTCCAGTGTTAACATCGTGTTGTCCTGGCTCTCCGGTGACAGCAGGGTGTGTTATCAGAAGGATTTCCCTTGGACTGATAGTCTTCAACATAAATTATATATATATGCCTAACATTTCGAGAGGACAGGTGCATAAAAGCTGTGTTCTAATTTCAGTGGGGCACTTAGCCAGAATATATGGTTTATACCTTCAGGAAAATAGTGTCTTCTCTTTCATAAACCAAAATGCAACTTAAATGGACCAACTGGTTGCCCGATGAACTTCTCTTCTCCTCTTTGTCGCCATGGGTTGAGACCTACGCGATTTTACCGTGAAAAGACGTCCCTAGCACTGAGAAAAGGTTAGGCACGCAACTGCTGACCAAAATACCCGGGGCTCTCCAACCCACCAGCTGCTCCGCAGGAGGAAGATGAGGCAGTCTGCTTCTGTCAGTAGTGACAGCCTTGGAGACCCTAGAGACAGCTCTATAATGCCCCCTAGGGCTGGTAAGAGCCCTCAAATCTACGCAACAGCAACAGGACTATTGGAGAGAGGACAGTTCAACCAACCGACTCGTAACTGGCAAATCAGAGTATACTAGCCCGGACCAGATCAGACCGACTGCCTAGCCCAGTGCTCTACCTCAGAGTGGATGAGGAAGCAGAGCCCTGGAGAGTGATGGACACACGTTTCACAGGCACGTCGATAAATTGTACTCAGGTCGCTTGGGTAGCTCTTGATAGTTTCCTTCAGTGCTTCCCACTTCAGTACACAACCCTTAGAGATCACCCTCCCACATCTTTTTATTTAAACCATTTTATTGGGGATCATACAGCTCTTATCACAATCCATACATCCATCCATTGTATCGAGCACATTCATGCATATGTTGCCATCATCATTTTAAAAACATTTTCTTTCTACTTGAGCCCTTGGTATCTGCTCATTTCCCCCCTCTCCCACCCTCCCTCCTTCATGAACCCTTGATAATTAATTTTTTTGTCATGTCTTACACTGACCACTGTCTCCCTTCACCCACTTTTCTGTTGTCCGTCCCCCAGGGAAGGGGTTCTATGTAGATCATTGTGATCGGTTCCCCCTTTCTCCCCCCACCTTCCCCTTCCCTTCCTGCTATCACTACTCTCCTTATTGGTCCTGAGGGGGGTATCTCTCCTGGGTTCCCTGTGTTTTGAGCTCTTATCTGTACCAGCATACATACTCTGATCTAGCCAGATTTGTAGGTAGAATTGGGGTCGTGATTGTGGGAGGGAAGAAGCATTAAAGAACTAGAGGAAAGTTGTATGTTTCATTGGTGCGACACTGCACCCTGCCACGTCCTCTTCGTACCCCATCTTCACGATGTCGACCCGACT